CCCCACTACTCTAAATCTGTGTGCTAATGCTCATCTGCAGTGTTTGTGCCACACATGTACTTCCAATGCAGTGCTGCCTACAGGTGTATGAAAGGCAGCAAGGGTTAAAATCCACAAATAAAATAGAAGCATGCTTATGGGAACATAAAGGCTGCAATAAATGAAGCACCCCCAGTCGCAATTTTCGCACCCCCATCCCCAGTTTTCATACCCCCTATTAAATAGAAATGAAAAGCACTCACTGTGTCAGAAATAGGAGAATCTCCAAGCAGGCACCATTAGAGCTGAGAAGCTGCAGATTGCACCCAGGAAGCAATGCCACCATCCATGCCTTGCCCCACTAAACTCAGTATTATCCCAGACCGGAGTGTTCATACAAACTATGCCTGCAAAGTCAGGCTCATTTCACACTGAATTTGCACAGTGAAAGGAGAAAGGAGGGGAGGGAGAGAGAGAGGGAGCTGGGACAAAACAGCAGCTCTGTTCCACCAAAGCAGCTCTTCAAAACTTTCGCTGGCCAAGGTGCTGAACGGCTAGCTCCCCACCTCCGCCCGTGCGCCCCTTGCAGCTGCCGAGGGATGCTGCCGACAGTGAAATCCACCCTGGCTCCACAGAATGCCACCAGTCTTCATGGTCATCCTACAGCTTCCTTGTAAAGCATCACTGTGTCCAACCCAAGAAGAGAAACTTTCTCCCAAAAAAAAAACTGATTAAATTTCCAATCACAGCCCAGTGCAGCTTGGCATTTGAGCTCACCCCCTCTTTCATTTGTCGGCTCCAGCAATCCCGGTGCCCAAACTCCAGGCACATCTCACCAGCCTCCCCCAGCTCCACAGCCTCCTCTGCAATTTCATGATATCACATTCAGCCAGAGATGCTTGCAATAAATCCATCAAGCTCCGTATGGAATCACCTGGTGAATTGCTGCTTCTCTTATCATCCCTTTTGATGAGTTTTACACATAAAAAAAGAAAAAATCCTCAGTGGCTATTTCCATTCAGGGAGCCTGATGAAGAGTGAGATGGTCACAGAGCCTCCGATCTTTGCAACAGCCTTCCATGGAGATGAGAACACGTTTTGTGTATGAGATGCATTGGGTTGCCCATCACCTGGGTACCACGATCCTGGAGGGATGCTGCACCGGTGGATGATGCTCATTCCTCTGATGCTTCTCCTCCTTGCAGTGCTCCTTGTGTTTCTGCTAACCCCATCATCATGAGATAGACATACAAAATCATATAGATTTAATTTGCTGCAGCACAAGCTCACATAGACTGCTTGTAGATCCAAATGAAAAGCACACAAATGCACATTGCTTGCAGTAGTGCCTCCTCTGTACGAACAGGGGTTGAGCTATGTGTAGGTCCAGCAATAACTCTTTAATGCAATTTCCCATCCAAGGAGGGTTACCTCCTTACCCTCCCTCCCTCCTTCCCAATGGACCTTTTTTTCTCCCTTGCTTTTTCCCTTCTTTTTTTCCCTCTCTCTCTCTCTTCACCTCCCTCTGCCACTTTTTTTTTCTTCTTTTTTTTCCCCTCTGCTTGTGATGAATAAAATACAATTACCCAATTACCTCCCATCATCTTAGCACTGATTGGTCAATTGCATTAACACTTGATGTCTTTGAATAAAGGGAAGGCAGCCAACTGGTGTGCTATTGCTGCCACCTACCTGTCACTACAAGACAGTGAAAGTCTGCAACATTAAAGTAGATGGAAACCCAATCAGGAAAAATCTCCTCTGAGCTGTTAGCATGCTAATGGAATTTTATAAGTCATTGTAATGTAAAAAAAAATAAAAAATGCAGCTTTTATTAAAAGACTAATAAATGGTCATTCAGCCATAAAAGTCATTGTTCAGGTACTTCCTGTCAAGCTGGATTTGATGGAGACTACAAGTGGCTTTTTCAACACACGTTAAGTAGGCATGATTGTCTGTTGTCACCATCAGGAAACCAACCCACCCTGAGAAATGCCATGCAGCCATCAATATAATATAAGGAAGACATTACAGTCACAATACAATTTAAGACAAGACGGTAAGGAGGGCCCTGCCCGTGAGGGCTTACAATCTAAAAGGAATGAGCTGCAAAGAGGCTGCAATGGATCAGCAGCACTGAGATGCAACACAGAGTGAAAAAAAGAAGGGAGAAGCAATGGCAGTTGTTTATGATACACAACGCTTAACCCATTTGTGACCAAAATGTGCCTTTAGAATATCAAATGTAAAATTCCTCTTGCCCTGAGAACTTAAATTACCTTGCACCAGAAAGCTAGAGACGTGGAACTGTGTGTGTCCCTGGTTCTCAGAGCCGCTGTTAATCAGAAAAACTAGAGGAGAGTTATTGTCAAATGTATTGACCAATATTGCTAAACTTGGTCAGGACATTAAAGCGTTAAAAACTCTGGTGATGAAAGGGTTAAAGCTTATCCCTTAAAAAGACTACCCTTGAAGTGGGCTACTCCCCCCGAATCTATGAATATTGTGAAGAGGACTTTTGTTTACCTGATCCCCCCCTCTCCTGCCATTCAGCACTCAAGTCTGTCCCCTCTGCTTGTGGACTATCCCTGGGCATCCTCACGTATAATGCAAGGCTATGGGCCCTATATTAGACGTGATGGTCAGAAGGCCTCCAACTGCCAGAGCGGAGGGGGGGGGGGAAAGACTGTAGGCATCAGTCTTCTGGTCTGCAGGAGCAGGATGAGATAAGTAAACGTCCTTTACGCAGGTCGTCTAGACCCTTGGTTCTCAACTGGTGTGTCGTGACCCATGTTTAGTGGGTCGCTACATGACTTCCACTTTTCTAGGCGAGAGACTCCTCAGACTCCCCCTAGTGCAGCACCGTCAGTTTTCGCGCCAAGCAGCCATTAAAAATGTGTTGCCTGGCCTTGCGTGCCAGCTTGAGGTGGGGTGCATTGCTCACAGCTCCCACATGTGCCCTGTAGAGATGCCTGGACTGAACTGACGTCACATTTTGGTTCCTGTCACCTCTACAGGGAGCGCAATGGAGCTGTACAAGCAATGCACATATGGATGGCGCTCCTTCACAGCACAGCAGCCCACACTGGACCCCAAGCTGAGGGTCCACTCCAGTTCTCATAAGGTTGGGAGACTGGGTGGATCTTAAAAAACAGTCCCATGCAATGAATGCACTGTACCACACAATTGCACCTATTGTGTGTTCGGATGTGGAAGGTGTGTTGTGTTGCCATTCATTTGAATGACACCCCAAACGCACCTCCCACCCACACTCCGATCGCCTGCACCCAAACTCCCCGTACTGCAGTTCTGTGCATTCCATTGCAGTATGACTTGGGTCGTGACTTAATGACCAAGGACAAATGTGGGTACTGAGGTTACACAGGTAGAGAACCTATGTTCTAGACAAAGATTGGCAGTTAACGATTACATTGTAGGGGCAGCAAGAGTATTTTTTTTCTGGTGCCCCGAGTTGGGTTTTAAACAACCTAAATGTCATTGAGTTTGAGTTTACATCCACTATAAGCAGTATGCTCAAGTTGTAAGCTTACTGGTTCAGTTTAATATGTATTTTTGGCAGAGGTGGCATTCTACAGAATTAAAGCTGAACTCCGGGATTTAGAAAAAAGAAAAAAAAAACTTACAGTGGGGCCTTCCTGCTCTGCAAGAGTTAAACGCATTTTAAGTCTTGGGGTACAGGAGTAAGCCGTAATACAGTATTCCTAACTCTAGGCAACCTCGGCACTCCAGCTGTGGTAAAACTAAAAATCCCAGCATGCTTTTGCCTCTTGCAGTCATGCCTGTGGCTGTCAGAGTCTTGCAATGCCTCATGGGATTTGTAGTCCCCCCACAGCTGAAATGCCAAGGTTGCCTTCCCCTGCTTTAGAAGACCTTGTCGCTCCCCTATTTGTTTTAATGCTTCAAATTGTAAGCGGACCCTCACCACCCTAATGTACAGAGCAGGACTGTATAAGGACACTGTATAAGTGAGTTTTTAAAAAAGCTTACCTATCACAGTCATGTGACTGGCTTCTCTTCCAATCTTAATATTGTCTCTTTGCACTGCACAGTGGATATATACCTATTTACCAATATGAGCATGCAACACCAGCTTGACACAAAAATAAGTCCATCAACACAGGCCCTTTGTATTATAAACCATTGCAATGTTTTCAAATTCAATTCTTGTTTTTACCTGAGCCTAGCGGACTGATTTATTAATGCTTAGGCAGGCTATATGGTATATGTTCACATTGCATTATTGCCACTAGATGGAGCCAAGAAGCACAGGAAATTACTACGCTGCTTGGCTCCATCTCATGGTACTAATGTGCTGCAAAGGTCATTCACCCCCAGCTATACACTAAGAAAACTTGCAAACACTTCATAAATTAACCCCCTAATGTTTTGCAACAAGTTAAAGCAACCCTGTTGCTAACTTATAATGAGTCCATGCCACTTGTGTGTAGGACAGCATACTGTGCCACCGGGCACTGTGATCCCCACTGCAAACCAAATGTCACTACTGCACCCAACCTTTTGTTCTGCGTTGCCCTCCAGAATATTTAGTAAACTCTGACATTCCCATTTCTTAAAGACTCCTTTATTTAGTGATTCTCAACTATATCACCAAAGACGTGTCAAATATCTACAAGAATCAGTGCATGTAACATGACACTGTCTGAGCTGCAGAAGGCAACTCTTCAGGTGTCACTTAAATCCTGCCTAACCCCTTTGTCCATTTTGGCATCGGCAGCAAGTAGACCCACTGTTAGCAGGAATGCATTCAACACAATTGTCTGTGAAAGACAGCTGCAGGAGTAAAATAGAGAAGCCCATGTCTGTGAAGGTTGTCCTTTATTCAGGTCATGGTATAGCTAGAAGTGGTTGGTCACATTCAAGTGGCCTTTTTTGAAGATGCTTTGTAGCTTCTCCAATCCACTTCTTCAGTTTTAATGAGCGTTCAGAACATACCCTAGAATGCATATCCAAACAGGAAGCACTGACACCTTTATCCAATCACCAAGGAATGTATACATGTTAACTGTCTAAAAACAAGATGGGAGTAGGAACGTTGTGGAATTCCCTGTTCTAGTTACATAATCCCTAACAGGGATCCTTTCAAGAGACATTCTTTCATCTTAAGGAAAAGGAGAATTCCCTGAAGTCACTGAGATGCATCTTTTGGACAGAGAGGACCACTGGTTTGCAAGAGGAGTAAAAAAGGCCATCTACACCAAACTGGAACAACTATCCATGAACAGGGATGGGGGTCCTTAACATCATCTATCTTTCACATATAATGCCATTTTAACATCCCTAACCTGGTGATTTGACAACAATTCACACCTTCAGCCATGTAAATTAAGGAATTAACATCTATGCAGACTTCCTGACACCAAGGATAGGATTATGAACTTAGAACAGGGGGTTTCACAACTTTTGCACCTCCAATTCGGTTCTTGGACAATTAACATCTAAGCATTCCATGGTGATTGGATGGTGACTGTGCTACCTGTGTGGATATAAAATGTTGTGTGTGTTTCTGACACTCATTAGAACTGAGGAAGTGGCTCAGAGACGCTAAGGAACATCTTCAATGTTACATAACAAGTCCCACTGAAAGTGATTAACTACTACCAGCTAGACAAGGTTTTTTTTTTAGAGACACGTGCCCATTGTAATGTTTCAATGCCAGCAGTGATTATATTATCACAATTACAACACATGATTTTATTAGTAAAATGTTATTACTGATATTTGGTGTGACCACAAGACCATCATGTGTGAAGGGAGTAATATTCAGAAAGGTTGGCACCTCGCTGTGTAGTGTTGGGTGATAAAGACATGACTCTCCACTAATTGGGAGGAAACCACCAAACGAACATTGAAGATCAATTCAGATTAACCTTTATAACAAAGCAACTTTTAATGCTAATCCTTTACAGAGAAGCAGAACGAGCAATTCCAGGCAACCAATCAGCAAACTGCTAATGCAAAACTCCAAGGAAAGGACTAAACATACAGT